AATACTAGTAATATATTTTAGGGGAGGCGCTAAACTAAAAGATACGTTTAGAAAGTTGGGAAAAAAAAAGGTTGCTTGATCCAGAAAAAATTTAAGCAGTAATGTATCTATATTATCAAATATTAAAAGAAAGATATTTTTAATGGTAATGAAAATATAAATAAGAGAGTACTTTGCATTGTGCATTTAATGAATTGCTTGGGGCATGTATTGGTGTTACATCAAAATGTGTTAATTTTTCTATTTGTTGCATTGCTATTTTCATCAGACAGGTGTATTAGTTTTCTTATTTTCTGAACAGAATTTCTGTTACAAGTGGTGACTAAATCGCAGTTCCAGCTCCATTTTAATCTTCTAGTCAGGAATTTAAGTAGCACAGCAGTAGCAGATTCAAGTGGCACCCAGGCAGGCTTGGAACAAGACTGAGAGTAGCGACCCTTGTCATATTGTGCCCTTTAAAATGTCTGCTTGCCCTTGAGCATTCCCCAAGAGTCTCCCCAGATGCTGCTGCGCTGTACCACACTCTTTGCCCCCCTCCCTTTTTTTTTTTAATGTCACTTTTGTGTGTTCATCTCAATGGGTTCCTGGGCTGCGACCATATCATGACTGTTGTGAAGTGGGCCACAGTAAACACAGGAAAGCAGATGGCCCCCATGTGCTGGTTTTGATTTCTTCTGCTGGCCACCAAGCAGTAGCGAAGCTGGGTAACACACTGGCTCTAATTTCGGTGTTTTGAGGAAGCTCTGCATGATTTCTGTAGATTTAGATTCCCAGCAGCCTTGCAGAAGGCCTCCTTTTTCTTCACATCTTTGCTGGAATTTATTGTTATGTGTATTCTTGATGGTGGCCATTCCTGCTGGGGTTAGATGAATCTCAGTGTAGCTTTGATTTGTGCTTCCCTAATACCTAAAGATCATGAACATGAACATTTTTTTCATATATCCATTGGCCATTTGCACTTCTTTTGAGAAGTTTCTGTTCAGGTCATTTGCCCATTTGGTAATTGGGCTATTTGATTGTGTGTGTGTGTGTGTGTGTGTGTGTGTGTGTGTGTGTGTGTGTGTTAGGTTCCTTTGAATTCTTTGTCTATTCTAGATATTAATCTTTCTGAAGAGTAGCTGGTACAGATTTTCTTGCACCTTCTAGGCCATCTCTTCACTGTTGGTTGTTTTCTTGGATGTGCAGAAACTTTTTAATTCACTTGTAGCCCTTTTGTTGGTTGTTACTGGTATTTTCTGTGCTTGAGGGGTCCTGTTCAGGGAGTTTTTGCCTCTTTCTGTGGCTTCAAAGTGTCTACTGGTTTCCATCTTGCCGTTCCACACTTTGTCTTTCCTCTAGATCTTTGATCATTTTGCATCGATTTTTGTAGACGGGGAGAGGTCAAGATGTAGAGGTCAAGACAGGTCTTCTCTATCTGATCATCCCCTTTTCCACCACCGTTTGTTAAGGAGGCTGTCTTCTCTAACATAATTTTGGCTCTTTTATTGAGAATCACATGGCTGTATTTGTGAGGGTTTGTGTCTGTGTCTTCTAGTGCATTGGTCTCTTTCTGTGTCAGTACCAGACTGGTTTTGTCATTATGGTTTTGCAGTATAATTTGTGATTTGTGTGTGTGTGTGTGTGTGTGTGTGTGTGTGTGTGTGCGCGCGTGCGCGCGCGTGGTACTAGGATTCAAACCCACATACATTCTGTCACAAGCTATATTACCACCCCCTTTTCAGTTTTTAAAACAGAATATTTTGAGTTTGACTCTCAGTACTTTTCCCAGGGGGTGCTAAAACCTGCAGTCAGTCCTCCTCCCTCAGCCTCCCAGAATGCTAGGACTTCAGGTAGCATGTGCCATTGAGCCCAGAAGCTTTTGCTGTACAATTTGAATTTGACACTGCCAGCATTGCTCTTTTTTGCCCTGAATTGCTTTGGCTTTTCTGAGTCTTTGGTGTTTCCATGTAAATTTTAGGTTTGTTTTTTTCTAGTACTGTGAAGAATGTTGTTGGAATTTTGATTTGGCTTGTATTGAATCTGTAGCTCCCTTTTGGTGAAATGGCCGTTTTAACACCCGAGCGCATGGGAGGTCTTTCCTCTTCTGTCTTCTTGCTTCTAGTGTCAGTGCTTTGTAGTTTTTATGGTAGAGTGCTCTCACCTCCTCGGTTAGGTGGGTCCCTTGTTTGTTGCTGCTGCTGCTGCTGCTGCTGCTGCTGCTGCTGCTGCTGCTGCAGTTTGGTGTTATTGTGAGGGAAGTTACTTTCCTGATTTCTGTCTCAGTTCATTATTGATGACGGAAAAGTTACTGATTTTTTTTCTCAGTGTTGTTTTGCTTTTGGATCTTAGAAACCCAAGTCTCCTTAGAGTCAGGCTTCTGGCTGCTTTTGCATCTGTGCATTGTGCATGGCTGGGGCTGACGATGGGAGCCTCCCAGGCTCTCCCCGCTGCTGCTGGACAAAGCCGGGGTGTGCTCCCTACCCATGTCCCTCAGCCGGGCGTGTGTTGTTTTCCCTTTTTGTGAGGAAAGACTTCGAAGGCTTCATGAATGTGAGGCGTATCCTTATACTTGTAAATAAAAGGACACTCAAGCTAATTACATTTTACTCTTAAGTTTAATACATCATTTCATGCCATTTTACAAAAGACAGGTGATAGAGCAAGGGGGTAAAACAAAATGTTTAAAATCAGGTGTGATTTTTGTGTTGCTTATCACCACCTGTTGTTATAACTTCTTCTCTATTTGGAATTGAAAATGACTTACCTTTTTATTCTCTGCCCCCAGCTGAGTATCTCACACAGTAAGTACTCACTATTTATTAAGTAAAGCTACACTTTCATGGCGAAATGAGCCTTAGTTGTTGGCAGTCTTTGCAGTTCTGGGCCCGACAGCCATGAGTTCTGTGGATAAGTACACAGTGTGTGCACAGGCTGGGTGTGTCCCCCACATCCCCAGGTATGCCTCTCCTCCCCTGCCGCTCTGCACACAGTGCACCTTCAGGAGAGAGATGATTTCACCAAAGGGGAGCTACAGATTCAATACAAGCCACATCAGAATTCCAACAACAGCTGGTGGTGATGAAGGGAAGAGTCTTACTAAGACTTAAATAAGCAATTTCTCAGTGACTGCAGATTCATCAGATAGCTGTATCTTCATTTGACACACCAAGTTAATAGAAAAAGAACGAGGGTGTTGGCCCGAATCATAACTGTAAAAACTAATCACTAGAAATCAGTTTGTTGTTCGGTAATTTATACTTATTGATTCCTTTTAAAGTCCCTGAGCTGCAGTATTTCCCCAGTCATAGGAAGTGACCGAATTAAATGGAAATGCTGCTGGATGTTAAAGGCTATTTATACTGGGTTACAAACATTATTTTAATATCTGGTGACTATCACTTAGCTCCACATAAAATCATAGTCTTTAGTGCATGTCTGTAAACATCTGTCTTCAAATTGATCCTGAAAAAAATCCTATAGATGTTTTCCTACTCTGCCTTATGAATTAAACAGATAAATTCTGTTTAATTTAGAGGTGTTTATCTTTTTAGTTACTGCAGAGAAATTGTTATTTTCCTAAATTCGATGATTTTACATCCTCACTGGTCTGTTTAAAAAGAGAACACTTAGTGAGATAGGTTACATTTGCAGTGATTTCACACATTTGATGAAACGTCTTCCAGCTCCTCCAACTTAAAAGACTTTTCATGTTTAGGTGGCATCTAATCAAAAGCTCCCCAGAAAATTAATGTTTAAATCTTTGTGTACCATGCATCCCATAAAGTTGTTGCCTAAAATATTGTTAAAAGTCCTGCGTAAGACAGAGAGTGGAATAGTCTGTCCATAGAGACAGGTCTGCGTGGTTGTGAGGTACAGATTCATCTTGCTTATCTGTTTGGAGGTTTGAGGTAGAACACTGTTTTGGTCATTTTCATAAACCTGCATCAGCTCTTTAGTGGGGCTTATTTCACCGTGGGCAATAGAGTCAAGCTTCTGGAGGGCTAGAGGGAAAAGGTCAAGTGAGAGGTGGAATATTACAAAGGTAAACTCTTCAGTTTTAAGTTAGTCTTATGTTTATTATATATGAGCTAAATAGGATCAGTATGCAAGTAGAAAAGAGAGACTGTTATTAATACTTAAAGATGACAGGTAGCATGTTCTTGAAAGGTTGTATGTGTTACTGGCCAGTAGTGTAAGAGTAGTATTGTAAATAAATGTAGTTCACTCTTTTTCTCTCAGTTTAAAAACGTGGTAATAGCTAGAGAAAACATAGATTCTTGAGGGCGGTGCTTTCTTACAGTCTCACCGATTGACAAGCAGAAAGGAAGAAAGGGGTCCATAGATGTTTGTTGAATGAACAAATGTGTGAATGTTTCCCTTAAAAATCATCCTCTCTAACATACAAGGAGTGGTAGAGCCTTTGAAGGCTCCTTAGTGAGTGTATTTACTTTAATAGAGGCTATTTTAAAACATAGACAAGTAGAACACTGGGGTGTGTGTGTGTGTGTGTGTGTGTGTATGTGTGTGTGTGTGTTGGACTAGTATAGTTCCTTGTATGACAGTGTATTTATAGATTCTAAGATGCTCATTTTTAAGAACTATTAAACGTCATTTCATAATTAAAAAAAAAAAAAACTTCGAACTGTCTTTTTACCTAAGCTATTTCTTGCCACAGAGTTGAATTTGTCAGTGCCAACTCTGTTTGCTCATTGATGTATAAAAAGCACATTGTAGCTCACCAAGTACTTTCCCAAGTTCATCTTAATCACCAAATCCACCCATTTGAGCATTGAATTCAGTATTATTTAAAGTCCATTGCATGCTCATAAACATTAAAATTTTATTTTGTAATTTTTTTGGGGGGGGGAGTATTTTGAATTTTGTGAATTTGAAATCAAGGGTCTTTCTTAACTACATTTTTGGCTCAACAATTGAAATAGAATACAGTGTTACAATCCTGAAATACCTTCCTGAAGTTCTTGTTCACATTGTAACCCTAGCTTTTCCTGCTGCTTCCACAGCTTCCTGCAGATTTTACAAAACTGCACCTTACTGACAGCCTCCACCCCCAGGTGACGCACGTCTCCTCCAGCCACTCAGGATGTAGCATCACCAGCGACTCTGGGAGCAGCAGTCTTTCTGATATTTACCAGGTGAGAAGCTGTTTTCCTTGGCGTTTGGTTCATTCTCATCCATTCCAAGGAGTTAATTCTCCATTAATACACAGCAGATACATGTGTACATACTGTGAGTACATGTATATAAAATTGAAATGGTTATGCTTCAAGTGGACACACACCATGCTTTATATATATTTGTTTAGGAAGTGGAACTGTCAAACCATGCTTTCATCTCCTGTTACCAGAATTTTAAATAGAGTGGTTGTTGTGGAATTCTCTTTAACGTTCAATGTTTTATTCACTTGACTATAGCTGTTAGTAGGCTTATAACTTTTCTAGATATACTTATGCTTTTATGGAAGATTTATCTTACTAATCAGCCGCCTGCCCTCCCCTCTCCGCTCCCAGTGCTCCTTTACTGAGTTATACCCAGCCTTTTAAAAAATCATTATTATTAACAGTAAATGAACAGATACAGTACTGTGTACCAGACATTAAGCGCTGGGCCGGGGATTTAGCTCAGTGGCATAAGTGCTTGCCTGGTGCTGCTGGTGAGTATTCGATCGTGAGTTCGATCCCTAGTGTCCCCCCCCCCCCCCAGAAAAGACAGTAAGCCCTAAATTTAGTAGATCTTAGGAATTAAAATTTCAATTTTAAACTTTTAATATTTTTATTAGTGTATTTCTGTAGTTCATAATGATTGCATTCATCATGGAAGTACATAGTTTTCTATACTTACTATAGTTACTGATTAGTAACTTTATAAATAGTCTTAAATATATTTTTTAAATATTTTGTTAGCTCAAGCACTGTCATTTAAAAATTCTTTCTTTCTTTCTTTCTTTTGGTCTGTTTTTCTTTTATCGGTACCAGGGATCGAACTCACGACCACACACTTGCAAGGCAGGCGCTTATGCCACTCTGAGCTAAACCCCCAGCCCCCATTTAAAAATTCTTGACTGACCAAGAATTTATTATTTTGCAATAAGAAATACAATTTCTTCTTTTTAATGTCACTTTGCAGATTTGTATTTTGAACCAGACAGTGTTAACTCAGAATGAACTCTCGGGGAAATGAGCCTGTTTCAAGTGTTAGCAAAGGCAGTGGGCCAAGGCAGTTTACCTTTGATAGATACATCATACATACACATGTGTCCTCTTCCTGGGAGGTGATTTTTAAAAAATTATTCATGAGTTTTCTTACATAATGAATAGTATAATAAAAGCTATATTTCAACTTATATTAATTGAGATGTCACAGGCAGAATCCTTGTCCTCTAAACTTTGAAATAGTTGTATTTTTGAGGGTCTATGGTGGGAATGTAATGAAATTAGAGCAGTTGTTATCACTGCTCTCTGCAAACATGAAAACTTGATTGGAACCACTAGAGTATAAATTTATTATCATAATAAAGTCACTTCTTTACATACTGTATTGATGAGTATTTCAGAGGGATTCTAGTCTTCTGTGCTGTTGCTTTAAGTAGGCTGGGTATACATTCATGAAACTTGACACTTGGATTGCCCCTGGCTAGCATCCGAACTTCTGAGAATGCAGTGTGTGGATGCAGGTTCACTCTCACATAGTTGGGGTGCACAGCCTGCAGCTCTGCATGGTGTTTGGTGGCAGGTGAGGGAGGGCAGTCCTGCACCTCCTTCTGGTTCATTGAGTTGAGTCCACAGACTGTTACTTTCAAACTTGGTGACAGACATGCTGCCTCCAAAAGGAAGAAGTCCACAGGTACCTCAGAGGGTTTACTTACTGGCGCTGCAACAATCAGTATGTAGTAGAGCTTCCCGGTAGACCACTTTTACTGTCCTTGAATCCGAAATTCTTCAGGTGGGAGGTCCCACAGATGCACCTGGTTTAACTTCCAATCTCTGCATTTACTAATTTCTGTATCACCAAGCATGCAGTTTGTTCTAAATAGTTCTAGGGATGAGCATCTGTCTCCTATGGCAGCTCCTTAATGCTGGTACAGTTCTGATGTGGGAGGAGCTCTTACTGGGGTGCAGAGGTTGAGACTGAATGCTATCGTAGGGGAGGGAGATGAGTAGAATGGTGTTGTTGAAAGGGTAGGAGGAGGCTGAAGAACAAGATGGAACAGCCTTTGAAGAAAAGGGATGCTGCATCCTTGTGGCTGCAGAACAGAGCGTGATGGTTAGGAGCTTCCCTTTGAGCTTCTGTGCTTACCCCAGAGAATTTTTTTTGCTGAGCTTGGTTTTAGGGAGAGAGAAGTTTTGAAGCAGTGGTTGCAGAGACAGGAGACTCTTGAAGGAGTTGTGTGCCTTAAATACAGTGTTTCCTTTGCTGCCTTAAGTCATCTCCATGGTAAGCACATGGAGAGCAGAGGATGGATGCCACCAGGACCTAAGCAGCATAGCTTTGCAACTTCCGGAAATGTTTCTGCATAGCTTGACTCTCTTTTGCCTTCATTTTCAAATGTCTCCCAAGAGAGTTCTTCTCTTAATTTATTGTTTGCTTCCTTTATTGTCTGTGAAGAAGACATAGCATTGTGATGTCTTTTCTAGCTAGTTCTTTGCTTCCTTCCTGGATTCTGACTCCAGTGATACTGCTTTTCTCTGTTGTCTGTATACCAGAATCACAGCTGCAGAAAGGCAGGTTTTTTTCAGCACTGCTCAATAGCATGCCAAGAAATTGTCAGCATTCGGTAAAGCTGTGTTGAATAAATATAATGGAAATAATGGACTGCGGATATAAGCTGGATACGAAGGAGATGACAGGAGGCATGAGAGCTAGACATCCAGGGCTGCAGAGCGCTGCAGACTGATGCAGACTGAAGAGCATCTTGAGGAGAGAAAGGCACTCTAGAGGCAGATGGAAGTGAGCTAAAAGCATAGGAGATTAGTGACAGAACGCAGAAGGCCTCAGAGCTGTGAGACAGTGCCTCTTCTAGCCAGGATTAAGTGTGAAATATTGGGACTATCAGTGAGTGGCTTACGTGGGCTGAAAATAGTTGTCCAAAAATAGATCATTAGAACAGAGTTCAAGCAGAAAGGAACTTGCTCATGTGGAAAGAATATGTAAATACAGGAGTCCTCACAAGTCAATTAAGAAAGTGGTGTATTATTATTCAACACATAATCTTTAGGGTAGGAGATCATTGATATTCTAACTTTATGTCATAATTACATAAATCCATAGTTAGTAAATTCTTAATGGGTTTGTTTTGTTTTGGGCGGAGTTTGAGGCAGGGTTTCACTGTGCAGTTCAGGCCGGCCTTGGTTTGCCTTGAACTTGCAGCAGTCCTCCTGCCACAGCCTCCCCAAGTGCTGGGATTACAGGTGTGTGCCACTATACCCTGGCATTTTTAATGTTTTAATAAATGATGAGAACATTTTAGTTATCAGTTGAGACAGATGTTTAAAGTCATAACTGATTTATGGAAATTGATAAAAATGCTCAGCTAACAACATAAATGTTCAAAGGTTATTTGCAAAGTAAAATACAACTATCTGTACCTTACAGTATTTAAAATACTAGTAATTGAGTATAGGAGTATTTAAACATGACACTGTTTTACCTATCAAATTAACACACATTTTCTTACTAAATATGATGGTACAAAATTTGAAACAATGTAAATTCTGATACGCAAGGTTGACTTAATAGAAGCACTATGTTTTTTTCCAATCTTTTTTTGGTACTGGGAATAAAACTCAAGACCTCATGCTTACCAGGCAGGCACTGTGTCATATCCCCAGGCCTTTCTAATCTTATCTTTGTACTTTTCATATATAAAGGATTTAGTGAGATGTTCCTACTCTTATCTCAGCATCAGTGTAACTTTCTAAGTTACATTTCTAGTAGGATCTGAGTTAGGAACTTTTGGGTTAAACTCATATGTTTGAAATTCTGCATAGTTTTATGTTGAGGTTAATTAGCAACTTTCATATGGCAGTAAGTATCAAGTATTTAAGCAAAAAATATTTTTGCTGATAATTTTAAGGTGCTTAAAGATAAAACTAGCATTTTTAAAAATCGTAATTAACAGTGCACTACAGCTTTATGATATGTAAAATGTCCTTGGTTTGTTCCTTTTCTTAATTGATAACCTTTAAGATATGCCCAGTAGTTGGATTTTAAGAACCGTGTTAATCATTTGGCTAGAGTTTAATGATTAGAATTAGTCTGAGGGAATTTGTTTGTAGGTATGTAAGTGAGTGGGATATCTTACAGAGTTTTTTCCTTGGTCAGATTTTGTGAATGTATTTTGTGTGTCAGGCTCATTGCTCACGGGAGAAGTAGGAGACATAGAGTAAGGTGAAGAGTACCTTTCTTCAGGATGGGAAAGTGGATCGAGCCCAGGGCCACATGCCGGCTCGGCTGCCCCTAAGCTGTACCCTCAGCCTTGGTGCACCATACTCTGGCTGGCTTGAACTGGGTGCCCTGTGTCTCGGATTCAGGAGCCTGTGAGTGGAGATGCTGCCTCGGGAGCTACAGGTGACAAAGCTGTGGCTCAGAAAGGTTGAGTGACTTTCTGACATCATGTACTGAACACTTGAGTGAGTGAGGCTCAGAGCCACTGCCTTGGGTTTGTTTGTTCAGCAAATATAAATTCAGGGAATGATGGGTTCCAAGCCCTGGACATTCAGCCCTCCTTGAGTTCATTAAGATTCAGCTCTACTGGGTTTCCAAATACCATCTTGTTCCTGGACTTTTCTGGGAAGTTGCTTATGTGTTATGTGGTGAATTCTTTAATACTGTAAGAGAAAACTGATGCTTATTCTAAGTTAAAGTAACCTTCCAAGTTCTGGTTTCATGAATGAATGGTTTTTAAAGAATGGAATACACATATTGGTAGTAAATAGTTGTGATCAAGTGAGGTTCTGTTTTAGAAAGATGAATCCAGTGGACATTCGAAAGTTGTTCTGCTTAAGATTTAAATAGAGTTGAGGATGGAGACGCGTGGCTCAGTGAGGAGCCCGTGTCTTGCCCACTCAAGGCCTCGGGTTGCATCCCCTGTGTCGCACACGCACACAGTTGCTCATGGACCTATGGCGATTTCATTTCAATGCTGATGATTCTTTGAGATTGTGTAAAATGTATTTTCATCTTTCAGCTAGCATATGTTGTCTGTTAAAGAATAACCTTTTGTTATATAAATTATTTAAAAGAAACAGTTTTTGTTTGTATTTCGTTCATACCATACATAGATATGTATGCAGTAGAAGACTGATGTTGTTTATGAAATTGTAAGGCAATGAGTAATCTTCAAGATAGGTGGGGCTGGGGTGGGAATGCAGCTGTAGCCAGCAGTATTGGTGTGTCCACAAGTATTGATTTGAATTGTACAGTATGTGTACGTCAGCGTATAAGCTGCATTTATATGTGTCAGATACAGAGAGTAGGTTGGGTTGTGGTTAAGACTCTGGAGCCAGAATTCCTGCGTTCCAATCTCGAGTCCACAGTGTGTCATCAGAACGAGTATGGGGAAAAGGTTTTTCTTTACTATAATTCTGAGAGAACAGTGAAAATTAATGACTTTGACTTCTAGGGTTGCTTCAAGGATTAGTTAATTTATACATAACAGAGCATGGTCTGGTACATTGTAAGTATTCAGAGTTTATTATTATCATGCTCAATACTTTGTGTTTTTAAGTTTTTATTACAAAGTCTGTATTTGGCTATTCTTAGAGGTCTTTATTGTCTTTGAAAATTATGTGGGCTATATTTTATAAAGTTGATAAAACTTTGTAATACACACTTTCTGCAAAGTTAATGTTGGGTTTTCCAGACTTTAATATTTCAGTTGGAAATGCAGTTAGCTTTTAATTCAGTTCATTCTCACTCGCAGGAGTGAGTCTGTCTTTATGTTAACTAAGACCTTAACTAAGACCGGTATGATGCAAGTTAACAGGTTGCTGACCTCATGCGGAAAGGCTGTGGGTTGACCTAAAAAGACAGTAGTCCGGTCTGCAGACAGCTGGGCAGGAGAGACTGTACCCGGCACCACGAGTGTGTCCACATATTGGGGTCCTTTCCACTCTGCCTTTGCCTGGGAAGCAGTTGATGGTGAGATGCATTGCCTTCAGGCTTGATTTGGAATTCGAGAGTGGTTGTTAGAATAACCCAGGTCAGGCTGGGGGTTTTAGCTCAGTGGTATAAGGGCCTCCTGCCAGGCAAATGCACAGTTGTGAGTTTGATCCCCAGCACCCTCCCCGCCAAAAAAACCTAGGTCTTGGTCTGAGCTTGGTATCAGGTTACCATTAATTTACAGTTCATATTTTATAAGACTTTCTAATAGGGGGAAAGTGGTCCTGTCTTCTTGGCATTAGTAAACTCCTCTAACTTTTCTGGAGGAGGAATTGCTTAGAATTAACAGTTGATCTCCCTGAGGCCCTTATGATAACCATTTTCTTTGAAAAACATAGTGAAAGCAAATACTATCCTTTTCTTCTTTGGTCTGTGTTTCAAGTGCCACAAGAAGGCACAGGTAAGAAGTCAGAATTATTGAGATAAAAATTACTGATTCTGGTTTAAATTTTAATAGATAAAATCACTCATGTAGATAAAATCACTCATGTTTTGTTGAAGTAATTCTTTTATATAACATTTGGCGAGTAGTTGCGAGGTACTGGACCCATTTAACATAGTTACAGAAAAATAAAACTTTTGAACAATTGTTCTTTTCTCTTTGGAGCTGCAAAGATTGATCTGCTTAAATAGTTCTTTTAAAAAGTGTTTTGTCTATGTTCAGGCCACAGAAAGTGAGGCTGGCGATATGGACTTGAGCGGGTTACCAGAAACGGCGGTGGACTCTGAGGACGACGACGACGAGGAGGACATCGAGAGGGCCTCGGACCCGCTGATGAGCAGGGATGTCGTGCGGGACTGTCTGGAGAAGGACCCAATCGACAGGACTGACGATGACATTGGTGAGTATAGAAGCTGGCAGACGGCGCCGCAGGCCCAGGAAGCTTCTGGGAAGTTTATAAATTTCCATTGTGTAAACATGAGTATTTATTGGAAAAGTGTTGGAAAAGGTCAGTTTTACTTCATGCCCTTATGAGTATAACAGTAACACTCTGAGGGAAATGCCCTAGGAAAATGCCTCCCCACGTCACCTCATCCTCAGTTTATGACCACCAGGAAGTCAGGAACAGTCATCCGGAGAAGCTATCTTCCTGTAACTTTCCTGTGGGCCCTGGCCCCCTAGGCTCCTGGCAGGCAGGGGTTGTTCCTTCTCCTGTGATGTGGGGACAGCAGGAGCCCAGGCAAGGCCGAGGGGCTATGCACCAGAGTGGCCACACTCTGGCTGCTCCCTAGAGAGGCACACTGAGGATGCTGCCTGTGGAGCACCCTCTCCCTCCGGAGCTCTGGGCCCTGCCTGAGCCAGACCACCTGGTGTTCCTGCTGCGCTCCCAGCCCTCTTGAGCCCAGGTGTTCTTAAGAATGAGGTGGCTGTGTTTGTGGGATTGGATGTGGGAGGGTGGATGTGTGTGTGTGTGTGTGTGTGTGTGTAAGAAAAGCATTTAAATTATGTACATGTACTAGCAATTGATGGAAAATCAAAACCGGGTGAGATGTGCAAAGTTCATTCGACATCCTTTGCTCTGTGGAAGTTTGTGACTGCCTGGGTGAGCACTGCGATGCAATAATGGTCCCTCAGCTCTCCTGAATCCAGCAGCGCCAAGTGCCTCTTCCACGGAGCTCTCAGCCAGCTCCTGACAGCTTCACTGAGCAGGATGCCAGGGTCATTGCTGGGAGATGCTGAAGGAGCAAGTGATGCAGGCAGGAGCCAGCGGCCGGTGTGGAGCAAGGGCTGCGACCAGGGGCAGGCGAGGCTGGATGAGTCTCAGTTTTACTTGCAAAGCCTTCAGATCTCACGTTCTCATGGGTGCTAACCAAGTGTTCATTTGACTTCTACGCTCCAAAATTGTGTTTTTAATCTCTTGTTATTTGATCATGGCCTGCTGCTGTTTTTTAAAAAACCCCTCTGTTGTAAGGAAAGAGGGAAATTAAAAGGGGTTTAATTTCCTTCTTAGTGGAGCAGCCTGGCTCACAGATGGACTCACTGGTAGGCTATTGCTTATGAGTGGACCCATTCAGAAGCGACCCTTTGCATGGACACACATATGCTCTGTAACCTGTTCATCTGGGGAGACTTGTGGGAGGAATGTGGGCCACTAGTGTGTATTCACATAGGTCATTCCTAGAAATCTGTGACTTTCACCTTACATCTGAGAAGCCTCTCCCCAGATTTCTGGAAAGCAGAATTTGTGCTTTGATTCTGATAAGTAAATCCAAAGCTGCTCATTTGTTCTTTCTCCCCTTTTCCTTTTTTTTGTCCTTCCTCTCCTGTTTACAAGGATCTCATGATGTTGCCTGGGCATGGTTTAAGCAATACTGTCCAGATCATGGCTGGGACTGTGGGCCACCAGGCCCAGCAACACTTTTTGTCTTGTCTTCCCTTTTTTCTTTGTAATGTGCTCATCAGTATAATTTCTATAGTGATTACCATTTATTTGAATATCAATTACCTTATAGGTGGTGATAATGCTGATACTTGCTGCTATCAAATGCACATTTATTTAAAGAAATAAATTGGCTAAACTCAAGTGAAGTATGTGGTTTTTTCCTAAGGAGAACTTCAAAGATCTCATAGTCTATATCCCTCAAAATAAAACTACAAAGGAAAGATAGTTTGAATCACTTGTAGCAAAATGGATGTACCTTGAAACAATGTTATGTGAAATAAGTCAGGCATACAAGCTTAAACATTGCATGGTTTCCCTTATATGAAAAATCTAAAGTACAAATAAAGGGCAAAGAAAAAGATAGCTGATAGAAAGTAGGGGGCTGGAGCTTTCCTAAAGGGAAAAGGGATCAAGAGGTGGATGGAGAGGACTTCTGGGAAGATAGCAAATGGTGAGCAACAAAGAGCCTCTGAGATTTGGTGTCCAGACACTGGAATATAGCAACGTGACAAAAAAGAAGTAGGGCAGTGAGTCTTGGGGACCAGGAAGGATCTGAAGTACTAGGATTGAAGCCCACCGGGACAGCAAAGGGAAACTTCAGCAGAGGAGGAGAAGGTGGCAGGTGGCACCTTCTCCTGGAGCCCAGACTCAGTGTGTGGGAGGGACAGCTCAAACCTGCAGTCGTGTGGTGAATGCTGGCTACTCAGTAGCCTCCACAGAGAGACGCAGCAATGGAAAAGAGCAGAGGGAATGGAGCACTGCAGTGGCTGGTGAGTGGTGCAGGTTCAGACATCACCCAGGAGAGGACGATTGGCCAGGAACCATGTTGGAGAGGGATTAACTGAGCTCAAAACTCATAACCACTGCTGACTCCACCTAGTGGACCCCAAAGCCCATAGACAGCACACTAACTGCTGAAGGCTGAATGGGTCTGGACACAAACCAACCTGAATTTTAGGGCAAATAACGATTAAGGATGCTGGGAGATTGCTGAATCAATCCACTGATTGGATTGGCATCACCCCTAATCCCAGCATTCTGAATAAAAGGGACAGAAAGAGACTTGTTTTGCCCTTTTTTGCTCTTGCTGCTTTTGCTGTCTTTTATTGCCATGAACTCTTGCCCCTCTTCCACACCACTCTACCTTGGAGCCAGCTGCTTATGGACGGAAACCTCCACAAACTGTGATCTAAATAAACCTTTCTTTCCTCAATTTGAGGTATCAGGTGTTTTGTCTCAGCAGTGAGAGAAAAATAACTAAGATACTCACTTCCAGAACTTGTATTTCAGTAAGATGGAGAATGCAGAAGAAATGGACAGATTCTTGGATATAGAGAAATTACCAAGCTGAATCAGAAAGATATAAAAAGTCTAAATGAGCCAATACCAGTCAGTGAAATCAAAGATATAATTAAAAATTTACAAATCTAAGTACAGGTCCTGATGGATCCATGGCTGAATTCTGCAAGATATTTGGACGAGACCTAATATCATTACCTCTCAAACTCTTTACTGAAACTGAAAGGGGAACTGTATTCCCAGATTCATTCCTCGAAGCAAGCGTTATCCTGATACCAAAACTAGAGGGTCCAACCAAGAAAGAGAAATACAGACCATTTCCCCTAATGAAAAGGGGTTGAAAGAAAATGGAAACGAAGCTTTTGTCAACAAGAAGGAGAAGAAAGGCTGAAGGGAGGGTAACAGAACAGGGGAAAAAGAGTGAAGTTATTTCAGGTACAGGTACAAATTCCCTATTATGAATGCAGTCATTATGCATAGCTAAAATGTACTAATAAAGATCATCTTCTATGAAAAAAATAACAAGGAAATGTGAACCAAAAGAAAAAAAATAAGGAATGGAGAGCAATGAGAAAAAGGAATCAAGATGTATTACACACATATTCTAGTTCCCTGCAAGGAGTGTAAACAGCACTAAATGTGTTCTAGTACAATTAAAAAGGGCCACATGAGAGCCCCTGTAGCTCTTGGTAGCCCCGAGGTACCTGCCAGTGTCGGTTACGGCAGACGCCCTTTAAAAGAACCCAGGGCCTGCTTGTGGATGCCTCCTCCCACCCACTGCCTTTACCCCGTAAGATGAGGAGGAGAGATTTTATGTGTGTGTGTGTGTGTGTGCACGCATCAGTGTTTAAGGCAAACACATGGAATTACTAATATAATTGTGTTTTTGGCCACTACATGGAAAAAAATTCCTTTTAGGCTGCATTGGATTCTTGCGCATCTATTTGTTTCCATCCATTCAAGAAGGGACTTCGTGGTCCTTGTGTAGACTCATTTACCTAGTGGTGGTAACATGTATTGTTTTGAAGGCTTGAAATATTAAGGTAGATGAGAACTTTGATCTCGCAGTTCCTTTTCTCCTGGCTTCATGTGCCACCAAAAACTAGAGTGTTTCTTTAGTAAACATTTTTAATAGGAAATTGAATCACTGAAACCAAGATAGGCCTCTGATGTCTGTAAATTGGTTATGAAATAGAAAGGTAGTGCCGCTCACCTCTCCCTGTCTCAGCGTCTCCCTCCATCCTCAGGGCGGACCAAGTACAGTCCAGAGCTCTGTCCAAAGCCTTCTTGGTCCCCTTAGCTTTGTGACCCCTGTGGCACTGTCAGTGTAAGCTGAGTGCTTTTGGTTTACACTGACTGCGTTTTCAGAGATGGGCTGCAGGGAATCCTTCCACTGAGGTGCTCTCTCTCCCAGCGGAACGAAGTTTGGGAGAAGTCACCGTGACGCAGTGGCTGGATGTTGCTGAAGGCTTGTGTCTCAGACCCTCTCAGCTGCTGCCTAGTTATACCTTTGCGCCCTCCTGGCCTTTCCCTGGAGCCCGGAGCACTGTGTGCATCTGCTGTTACTGAACGTTTCCTGTCCATCTCGTTCCCTATGCTGATTGCATGTAGATCTTTTTGCCTGCTGAGCTTCTCCAGTGCCTGTCACTGCTTCTGTATTGCTTTCACGACTCTGTCTTGCACACATTTGTCCTCCCTGGGACCAGGCACCCACACTACCACTTAAAGGGGTACAGTATGTTTTGGTGCCTCTGAGGCAGGACAATGTGGCAGGGGGCGACCCAGGGAAAGGGGCTCACTTTGGCAGTCATGGGCAGAGGGAGAAACCGTGGGAGGTGGAGGCGCTGCAGTGGGGAGCACAGCGACCACTGCCATGGGGCACTCCCCGAGCTCCACCCTGAGTGCAGGACAGTGAGGGACACCAGGATCACCACTGCCGAAGCCCCCAGCAGAAGAGAAGTCCATCAGAAAGCAAAGCCCACGTCTGCAGGAGGTGCTGGGACGTGGTGGTGTGCATTGGTGGAGTCCCTTGTTTTCCGCGTACTTCATCTCCAGTCAGATGTGTGATAATGACTTGACTTCTGTTACCCAAACTTGTTAGAGTCAGAGGCTTCCTGGCAGATGATTAATTTCTACTCTTGAGTTTTCTTCAAAGCCGAGAATCTCATTGCCCATGGAAATTCAGCAGCTCCTGGGGGAGGGAAGTGTTGTATATGGGGTCCCCCTGGGAGGTCGGCCGGCATGTCTGACCTTTAATATGATAGGTGTGGTCATTTCCTGCAGTGACTGTCACTGTGGTTTTAGTGCTGTCCCCAAGACTAAATCTATGTTGAAGCAGAACACAGACACACGTACTTATTCCAGAAATAAAAGTTGCACTAAGCAGAATTTGTTTTCTCAGAGTAATATGTTTTGAATTTTTTCTTCTTTTTTTGAAAAAGTGCTGGTTGCAAAAGTAAACTGATTGCCTTACATACATACATAGATACATACCTCTGGGTGAGGCTAAAGAACCGGTCCTGTCGGACAGGCTTCCTGGGTTCCGCTCATGGAGTTGCACTTCCTACGGCCACAGCCACTTTGGGGATGCGACATGGAGGCGGGACGGGAGCAGTGAGGACTTGAGGATGCCCAGCTGGGCCAAGGCAATCATTCCATCCTTATGGAAGGGTAGCATCTTTGAGGAACATAGCTTCCTGTCTTTAGCAGTGTATCGTGTTTTGTCCAGAGGGAGGTGCATAGGGACAGTTCCATTGTGTGGGTGACAAGGAAAGGGCACTGTGCTGCTTGCTGAAAGGTGGGTGCTTCAGCTGTCATGGTGACAGTCGCAGTTCTCATGTGTTGAGGATTCCTCTGACGGGGCTATGTTCTGTATTAGATTCTTACTTCTATCCAGTGAAGTAGATGTGCTGTTACTTGCAAGTGAGGTAACTGCCTGGGGTTAATCCTGTGCCAGAAGTGGCACAGCCAGCAGGTCCTAGGTCTGCCCCGTGCCCTCACCACCTGCTGCAGAACCCAGCATGTGCCTCAGAGGCAGCAGCTCTGAGTCCTCTCCTGTGTGTTTCTGGCTCCGGTTTCCTCCTTAGGAAACGAGGAACACGTATGCCATAGAGCTGGGGATGAGGGAGGCAGAGAGCCAGTGGGCAGGGAGTATAGATCCTTGAGAGTGAGAGGCACGGAGCCCTTGAGTCAGCAGCCGGCTGTGTCCACAGCTACGCTCCTGTGTGACGTCCCCTATGGAAGAGGAACCGACTCTACTTGCCTGTCTGCAGGACAAGGAGCACTGTATCTGTTCTCGTTTATATTTGTCACGTTGTGTTGTAAATTTTTAAATGTCAAATTTTTATGAACTTCCCTGACCCACAGAAAATCTCCATTGGAATGTTTTTGAATTAAAGGCAGTTGTTTTTACTAAATCATTTGGTTATCTACCTACCCAGAAAGCTCCAGAATGGACCTGCTGACCTTCTGGAAAACTCTTGAGTTTCATTTCATTTCAACCAGCTCTTAGTATGTGGTTAACAAGATCACAGCTCATGTGTAATTGGAAGTCCCCATTTGAAGTTTAGTGATTTCTTCACAGCCTTTAGAATCTGGGTTGTCAACTGTTGCTACTGAATCAGCAAGCAGAGATCGCCATGGCCATGGCGACCACCCTCTGTAAACGTGCTGGATGTTCAGTTTACACTGAATCAGTAGATGGGTTGTACAGCATTTGCAAAGATGGAACTTTAAAGCATTTAAAGTGTGTATTGCTGCTGCTTTTTCCAATGCTGTACCACAATCTCAGCCCCTTTTATTTTGAGCCATCTAGGTTTTGCTAAGTTGCCCAGGTTGGTCTCAGACTTAGAATCCCCCTGCCTCAGTCTGCTGGGTACTTGAGATTACAGGCATGCACCAGCTTGAAGCATTCTTTCTGAAGACTTGTTTGTAATAAAAGCTGTCATTTTGACACGGAGTGTGTGTTGCGTTTCAGAACAACTTCTGGAATTCATGCACCAGCTGCCTGCCTTTGCGAACATGACGATGTCGGTGCGGCGAGAGCTTTGTGCTGTCATGGTATTTGCTGTGGTGGAGAGAGCAGGGACCATCGTGCTAAATGATGGTGAAGAGGTTGGTAAACGTTTCTCTGCTCACAGGGCCTCTCGGTACAACACTCAGATGGAAATCCAGGTCTTTTTCCTTGAAAAAACATTAATAATAAAATCAATAATAATAATTCATCAAGAATTGTGAGATACTAATTTTGTCACTATACTCCAGGTTCTATTGTTCTATTTTGTATTACGTATCATATTCCATATAGCAATTGATAGTGCTTTTAGAAGGTTTTTATTTTGCAGTGCTGGGGCTAGAACTCGGGGTGTTCAGTGCTGTGTGACCACAGTGTTCTTTTCTGCTTTGTTTGCACTCCTTCTGACCAGCTGGACTCCTGGTCTGTGATTCTCAATGGTTCTGTGGAAGTGACTTACCCAGACGGAAAAGCAGAAATACTGTGCATGGGAAATAGTTTTGGCGTCTCTCCTACCATGGACAAAGAGTACATGAAAGGAGTGATGAGAACGAAGGTGGATGACTGCCAGGTATGACACATCATTAACGGTACACATGGGACAGATTGGCCAGCTGGCGGGGTGCTCGGGGTGGAGCCAGGGCCCTGCAGGTGCTGAGCAAGAGTTGTGCTGGACGCTGGGCTTCGAGCCTAGACCGATGTTTCTCTAAATAAAGGAAATGCGTGTGCAGTTGTGGAGTGAGGTTTCTGTATGTGTTAATTTGTCATTTTTTAGATTTGCAAATAAAATCTGAGCATAGAACAATCACTTTTCGTCTTACGGTATCTGAGGAAACTAAAAATAAATGTGCATCTGAGTTTTCTGAAGTCAACAGCTCTATGTGTTCTGTTTTTAAAGCGTTCTGTTTTAGGGTATTTTATAACGATGATGTGCAGCTCTGCAATGTTATTTAAATACATACAAAAGTAAATGGATTTTTGAAGAGATGTGGGCGGAATCCGTAGTAAATAATTGCTGATGAAAAATTGTAAATAATTGCTGATAAGAATACTTAATAACCAAAGAGAAGTAGTATCAGTATTGATACGGTATCAGTACTCACTATTTAAAAACCTTTAGTAATAGATTAAATAAACTACATGGCCAAATGGGAAATTAATTAATTTTTAAAGTTTTATTTTCAAAAGGGAAAAACAAGAAACAGGAGAGACAAACTACAATAACAAAAAACCCAAAACAGTAACAATATAGGCTTTCAAAACAAGGTGGTAGGAACTTAACAAAGGTGGTTATTTTGCATAGTTATTTTCAAAAGAGCTACTCAGATTACTAGATATGGACATGTAAAATTGATCTAATCCTATGAGTGTTAACTGTATTGCTCCAGGAACTAATTGAATTAGTAGTACCATCATCTTAACTATCTTAAGTGTATATTTACAATTTTATATCTATTGTCTTTTCCCTGAGTTATTTTTCCCCTTTGAGCTGTTTCTTACCCTTTCACAATACGTTTTGAAGATTTTGGATCTTATTTACTCTTTCTGTTTCTTACACTAGGGTATTAACACATGTGAATTTGATTTATTTCACTTATGAATATGGTCTCAACTTGCATTCACTTACCTATAAAAGCCTCAGTGTGATCCTTCTTTATAGCTGAGCCGTACTCTTATTGTATAAAAATACCACATCTTTTTTATCCATTCCTCAGTTGATGGGCATTTGGGTTGTTTCCAAGGTTTGACTATGACAAATTGTGCTGCTATAAACATGGGTGCACATACATGACTGGGTGTGTTTTCACTTCTTCTGGAATATGCCCAGAAGTGGAATAGCTAGGTCAAACAGACTTCCAATCCCAGCTTTTTGAGGAAACCTCCAAACTGATTTCCACAGTGGTTGCACCAGTCTACACTCCCACCAACAGTGCGGGAGAGTTCCTTTTTTCCCACAGTCTCTCCTAGCATTTTTTGTAGGTAGTTTGCTTGATCCTGGCCATTCTTTCTGGGGTGAGATGGAATCTCAGTGTGGTTTTAATTTACATTTCTCTAATGACCAATGATGTTGAACATTTATTCATATTTGCCTTTTGTATTTCTTTACCTGGGAACTGTGTATTCATCTCAGATGCTCATTTTTGGATCGAATCTTTGAATTTTGGGGCCCTTTTTTTTTTTTTTTTTTAAATTTAAAGAGAAAAACGAAACTAAACGAAGCAAGACAATAAAAGACTAGAAGCAACACAGAATTTCAAGAGAAAAAACATACAGTAAGAGTTCACCAGTTAATAGATCACACATTGTCATGTTACAAACAGCTGTCCAGATTACAAAATTAAAGCATACAACGTGGAGATTAATACAGTGAGATTGCAGTCAGTTCTGTTCAATGATCCAAGAAAAACTCAGCAATATGGTTCTCTATCCTACACATTTAAATAAACTTGCAGTTATATCCTTTAGATCACTTTCCTTCCTCTTTTTTACACTAACAATCACACATTTTAGTTTCCATTACTTCCACAGTTTTTTTTAACTTTTTCTTTGTAGAGAAAAAGAAAAAAGATTTTAAAAAAGGCCAAAAAACAAAAAACAAAACAAGACGGACCAAAGAAAACCCCAATGTGACAAAGCAAAACAGAGTCAGTTAGATCAGGAGGATGGACATAGCATAAAATGAAAAAAAAAAGGGATTACTAGGTGATCAACAATGGTTACCATTATGCCTCTTGTTATCCTGAAAAGAGTAGCCTATATCAGCTAGTATAAAAGAATTGAACAAAACTGTACATAAGACCAATAAAACTACATTGGAGAGCTTACAGGATTCCAAAGAAAATAATAGTCAAATAATAACGGGCATCATAGAATATCTGGTTGCCTTCCAAATGGTTGCCTATACCCTCAAACTTGATACTACTAAGCGAAACAATATAATAAAATCAGTCAGAACAAGATGTGGAGAACACTATAGGGGTTCAAATCAGGTTAATAGGGAAACAAAAAATTACTATAATCTATCCCACTATTTTTAATTTAGTTTTCCCTTAGTTAAAAGATACTAAGTAATAAACTAATTTTTAAAAAAAAAGGAAAGAAAAAGGGGGAGACTGAGATAAAAAAAAGAACATATCAATAGAACAACACTGGTCAGAATCGAAAAATTTAACCATCATTGTGTTTCACCCCCAGATAGCTTGACATTAATTGTAGTTACCATAGTGACTCTTTCCTTGAAATATTTGAGTCTAACTTCGTATACTATAGCATCAAATTTATCAAGACAGTGTGAGACCATTCAAGAGAATGAAATTATTGCCGGGTATTTAGAACCAGCTAGCAGAAACCAAACATCAATTTCTATATTATCTCTGTGTCTATAAAAAACTTGCTTATACTATCGCATACATTAAGATATAACAAGATACCACATGTTAGAACCAATGGAAACAAATGAACAACAACTTGATGGGGCTTCAAAACAGGATGATATTAAATCAGCGCTAGCTATTATGCTCTTATTTTCTTCAAAATAGTTATTTGTAGTATCACAGACAATAAAATAAAACCACCCCAATTAAAACTATTCCAAGTAATGAATGAAAACATTATATGGCTTCAAACCAGTGTGACTGGAAATCATGATTTCCACGTACTTTCATGTATTCTTATCGTTTCTTACACTAGGGAAACTATCCAGTATTTATACAGGTGAGTTTGGTTTATTTCACTTACGAGTATGGTCTCGAGCTGCGTCCATTTATTTATAAATGTCTCAATGTAATCATTCTTTATAGCTGAGTAGTACTCCATTGTATAAAAATACCACAACTTTTTTATCCATTCCTCAGTTGATGGACACTTAGGTTATTTCCAAGATCTGGCTATTACAAATTGTGGTGCTATAAACATGGGTGCACATATATCACTGTGTTATGATGCTTTCAGTTCTTCTGGGAATATGCCTAGGAGTGGAATAGCTGGGTCAAATGGTGCTTCCAGTCCCAGCTTTCTGAGAAATCTCCAGACTGACTTCCACAATGGTTGCACCAGTCTACACTCCCACCAACAGTGCAGGAGAGTTCCTTTTTCCCCACAGCCTCTCCAGCATTTGTTGTTGGTGGTTTTCTTGATCTTGGCCATTCTTTCAGGAGTGAGATGAAATCTCAGTGTGGTTTTAATTTGCATTTCTGTAATGACTGCTGATGCTGAACATTTTTTCATATACTTATTTGCCGTTTGTATTTCTTCATCTGAAAATTGTTTATTCATCTCTGATGCCCATTTTTGGATGGGGTCTTTGAATTTTGGGGGTCTGATTTTTTTTTTAATTCTTTGTATGTTTTAGACAGAAGTTCTTTGTCTGAGGGACAGTTCACTAGGATTTTTTCCCAGTTTATGGGTTTTCTTTTCACTATGTTAGAGATTTCTTTCGATGTGCAGAAACTTTTTAATAAGATGTGATCCCAGTTATTGACTCTGGGAAGTATTTCCCGTGCTGTTTGAGTCTTGTTCATGAATCTCTACCTATCCCTGTTTCTTCAAGGTTTTTACCCAATTTGTCTTCCAATAGATTTAGTGTTTCTGTTTTAATATTTAGATCTTTGATCCATGTAGATTTTATTTTAGTATATGGTGACAGGCATGGGTCTAGTTTTAGTTTTTGGCATATGGAGAGCCAGTTTTTCCAACACCATTTATTAAAGAGACTGTCATTCTTCCAGTGAACCTGTTTGGCCCCTTTATCAAAGATGAGATGGTTGAGTGTGTTTGTAGTTGTGGTTGTATCTTCTAATCTATTTCATTGGTCTTTGGCTCTGTTTTGATTCCAGTACCATGTTGATTTTACTACAGTTGCTTTGTAGTATAACTTCAAGTCAGGGATTGTGATGCCTCCTGCCTTGCCTTTGCTGCTTAGAACTGTCCTTGCTATTCTAGGTCTCTTCTCACTCCAGATGAATTTTAGGATTAATTTCTGTAGATCTATGAGATATGTTGATGGTATTTTTATCGGGGTTGCATTGAATCTGTATTGGGAGAATGGCCATTTTTGGGAGAATGGCCATTTTTACAATATTCTTCCTATCCATAAGCAAGGAATGTCTTTCCATTTCCTGAGATCATCTTCAATTTTCTTTTTTCATTGTATTATAATTTTCCCTATATAGGTCTTTCACTTCTTTCGTGAGAGTAATTCCTAAATATTTCATTTTCTTGGTTGCTAGTGTGAAGGGTGTGGCTTCTCTTACTTCTCTCTCTGTGATTTTTGTTAGTATATAAGAATGCTATTGATTTTTGAGTATTGATTTTGTATCCAGCCACATTGCTGAATTTATTTATTATATCTAGGAGTCTTTCAATGGAGTTTTGCGGGTCTTCTATGTAGAGTATCATATCATCTGCAAATAGTGATAATTTAACTTCTTGTTTTCCTATCTTTACGCCTTGTATTTTTCTTTCATGTCTAATTGCTCTGGCTATTATTTCCAGTACTATAATAAATAGGAGCGGTGACAGGGGACATCCTTGTCTTGTGCCTGATTTTAAAGTAAAGGCCTTCAATTTTTG